ATTTTTATTCCCATGTCTAATATTTAATGGATACTGTGAAGTTTTGATTTCTTTCCATTTCAAAAAGGTAGAAGGAAGTTCACCCAGATGTTGTCCCACAGTACAAACAGTATAAGTAATTTTTGAGATAGTAAGTCAACATCAAATAGCTATTTTTTAAAGCATTAACACTAGTATTTCTGATAAGGCAATCCAGGCTTGCATCATGTAAAGGTTTGTCTTTACTGCTAAATTGATTGCACCATGCTACTGACCTGACTTCAGACCTACAGTACTTGGCCAGATCTATCTATATTGGGGTGGCAACTCTTATGTGGAATAGCTGTGCTATGACTGTAAAGGCAAAGGTGTTTTTAAAACAGATCATGCCAGCTTTGGGAATTGCCCAGGTAGACTAAGACTTCAGCCAGTTTGTAAGAATAATCTACAGATTAGCAGTCTGAGCCATGTCCTCTAGGTGTTTTCTCCAGTCCTTCTCCTTTCACATCTTCCTCTTGTCCTCTTGGGTTGCTGCTCTTCTTCCTGGGTTCATGTGATGTTTGTGTAGGCAGTCCTCTCAAGCCCCTGCTGCAGAACGTGGACACCTGATGCATCTGGCCAGACTGGGTCATTGTGCACTCTGGTCAGCTGCTCTCCTGCTGCTTCAGCAGAAGGCCAGAGTCCTTCGGGCCTGCACCCTGAAATAATGCCAGAAACAGCTAATCCCTGTGACAGCTAACCACAGCTAACATCTTGGATCATATCTGAGAAGTGTCTCAATTAACATATTAAGTGCAGGATTACAGACACACTGCAAAAACACACTCATCTTTTTAGCTATTAACACGTCTCCACACCTTTTAATCTTGGCTTTCAACAGGACCAGAAAAGAAACAGTTGTGGGGAAAATAGTCTCATATAATAAAGTAGATTTGTGACAGCAGGAATCTTCTGCTCTGCTGAGATGTCTTTGGCTGCAGCAATGAATGCTGATACATTCATTACTATGAATTGAAAGGTCTTGGGGTGAGTTGTAAAAATTGCAGAAAATTTCAGGTTTTGTGAGCAATTCCAACTATTTTCAAATTTTTTTCTTACCTTCTGTCAAGATCATCCATGAATTAACTGGTTTTTGCAGACTAAGCAATATATTATTCAAATATACTATGCTGAATGTTCACAACTTGGGGTTTGTTTTTTTTTTTTTTTCCCTTTACCCTAACACTTTTCTAAGAGGTCAGAAACAACAGCATTGGCATTTACTTGAGCTCTACTTTAACTCTGTGTCAGTAACTCTTCAGGTTCTGCAGCTCAGGTACAAGCTGTCAGCATTACCAGCAATATCCTTTTAATTTTGACCCAAGAAGAAGCAATGACAAAAGAGGAAACACTCTAAGACCAAAGACAGTAAGTAATGATGGCATTGATAATCAGCTGATATGGCTGCAGAATGAGCAGATTTTTTGCCAGTCTGCAAGCTGTGATTTGTATACAGACCCAGGCAGGTTTCATGTGGACAGTAAGACAAAGCCCTTTGAAGATTTATCTTCAAGAGCAAGGTGACAATATACATTGTAGTAAATAGGGAAAAGAAGTTCCAAAAACTGACTAAGGAAAGGGAGCAGGAAGGAGATGTTTAGTTAACAATGATCTAAGGGAGAATTTTTTTGCGTACTGTGTCATTCTTAATTATATTTTTTTATATGTTACTTATGCTTCCAGGTGCCTAGCAGATGGAAGGAGAGAACAGCAAATAGGGTATTACGCCACCTAAATGAAAAGTCTCTTCCTACTGTCATCACATAGCTACAGCAACAAAGGCTGGCCCAGAAGTAAACCTAAATGTATTTTATAATCATTTCAGGTCACTTTAGAAAATACCACTGAACTGGCAACCTTGAAGCAAGGGAAGAATAACCCACACATAAATCAAAGAGAGGCAGTAATACTCTAGTGCTGCGCACATGTACTTCAATGCATCTGGATGCAGTGCTCAATACCAGCTCCAGTCATTCAATCTGCTAATCCATTTTAGGTACTCCCTCCTGAGCAAGAGCAGAACTTCATGTCCTCCCTTCACGGACAGTGCAGCAAAGTACAGAAAGGCAAGGACATCAGCTGAAACTAAAAGGCTTCCTTTGACTGTGGTAGCCTTGGAACATGGTGGTGCAAAACACAGCTAAGGTGCTTACAAAAAACCATTGATGTCTGTTTTGTTTCTTTTTTTTTTTTTAACTGCTTTCCTATTGCAACCCTTGCCTACCACATCCTGCCCAATGAAGTGTTCTCACCCCCAGAGGCTGCTGCCTCCATGCTAAACCTTGGTTGTCTGCTTAAAGATGACTCATCAAAAGTGTTGTCTTGACCTGCCCAGCACCTTCTCTGCTCTCCACCTAGAAAGAAGTGCAGCTCCTTCCACAATGTTACACTACCTAGAAGAAAACAGAAAATGTTCATAAGTATATCTGTATTTACCTTACATAGAAAAAAGCTTGTTTTTATAGCCTAGCCAGTAGAGGACTCAGAGCATCTTCCAGAGATGCATCAAATTGTACTGCAGCTTTTGATCAGTGAGAATACTAATCTATGTGTCTTTTGGCATCATCCACATGCCTGGATGTTTGTGAACATAAACAATCAAACACTTAAGTACTATTTTTATAAGCAACTAAGACCCAGAATTAAATTCAGGCAGAACTTAACAGCATTGCATTGGTTAAACACTGATTAAAAGAGCTGAAAGCTGCATTAGAAATGCTGCAGTATGTAGAGATACAGGATTCCTAGAATAGGGCTGACATCCATCACAATTACTGAAGCAAGTTTTAATTTATGCATGCTTGCTGCTACATTGAAACAAGTAACTTTATTCCCAGAATGCTGTGCAATCAGCTATCAAATATCATCACTTCTTTTTAAGGTATGCAATAAATGAAGGACAAGGTGTGTGATATCTATCCAAGGTCAGTTGTCACTAGAGAAACTATCAAATGTGATTTTAGCACACTCCAGAAACCAAATGCCAATTTGGAAGTAGAGCAATAGCACCAGTCTGAAGCACTTAATGTACCAGGGAAGGGCTGTCTCCAATAATCACAGCTTCTTGTTAAAACAACTAAAGTATTACTCAGTATAGCAAAACTCGTAGACTATTTCAGAAAAAATACCTACAGGAGCTACTCTTCAAAGAACAGCAGTAACACAGACTGGTACTACAGGGATAAACCACTGTACACAGACTGTCAGTGGTGCATTGTAACAAAAACTGAATTCAGTCCTTAACTATGTGCAGATGGATGATTTTCTGGAAGTCACAGGAATTTTAATAACACCAGGAAGCTCTAGGTTTCCTTCATTCCCATACAGTCTTTCCAGAACTAGTTACATTTTTTGCAATTCTCATCATGTAAAACTGAGTCGTGTCAATACACACTCATACTTGATACACTACCCACATAAGCATCAAGGTCATGATGTGAAACTGAGGTTTCTTCCCCCAGAGCTGGTTATCATTTCAGTCAGTCAGCAACCACAGAACTGCACACCCTCTCTTCTCTTGCTCAAGCATACTGATAAATTTCCTGGCATATGGGGACTGAGGGAACTGGCAGATGAAGCTGCTGTCCATCATATTTGACAAGTTATGGTAGTCAGGTTTAGTTCCCACTGACTGGAAAAGGGGAAATGTAACCCCATTAAACAAAAAAAAAAAAAAAAAAAAAAAAAAAAAAAGGAAGGCCCAAGGAACTACAGGCTGGTCAGTGTTACTTTGGTGCCTGGCAAGAAGATAGAGCAAATCCTCCTGGAATCTGCGCTAAGACACATGGAAAATAAAGAAGCAATTGGTGACAGCCAACACAGCCTCACTAAGGACAAATCAAGCCAGACCAATCTGGTGGCTTCCCATGATGGGGTTACACCACTGGTGGGTGAAGGAAGAGTGACAGACATCACTTACCTTGACCTGTGAAAAGTATTTGACACTGTCCCATATGACATCCTCCATAAACTGGAGAGACATGGATTTGACAGACAGATCACTGGGTAGATAAGGAATTCCATTATGGCTGCACTTAGAGCTGCAGTCAATGGCTCAATGTCCAAGGGGAAACCAGTGATGAGTGGAGTGGTGTCCTCGGGGCCCAGTACTGGGAGCAGCGCTTTAACATCTTTATTGGTGACACGGACTCAGAGCAGCCCTGAGCAGAAGGACTTGGACGTTTTGGTCAATGAGAAGCCCAACACAAGCTGGTAATGTGCACTCACAGCCCTGAACGACAACCGTGTCCTAGGGTGCATCCAGGGAAATGTGATCAGCAGGTCATGGAAGGTGATACTTGCTCTCCAACCTGCTCCTGTGAGAACCTACCTTGAGCACTACATCCATCAGATCTGCAGGAGTGAGTCTAGAGGTTGCTTAGAGCAGCTGTAGATACCCCATCCCTGGAAATGTTAAAGCTTTACCCAACCTGGCCTTGGAGCACCCTGGTCTAGTAGAAGGTGCTCCTGCCCAGGGCAGGGGAGCTGAAACCAGATGATCCTCCCTGTCAATCACAACCACTCCATGGTTCTATGCAACCAGAAAAGAAATATGGCTCAGAGCAGTACCTTTTTCATGAAAGTTCTAACAGCCTCTGTGCAAACACAGACAGCAGCCCCTCTTCCACCTGACATCCAGTATTACAAACTTTGCTTAGAAAAGGAGTATTAAGCCTCACAGGTTGTTACAAGTGTAACACAATGCATAAGTTGCTCCTCTTTGGCTTTAAGCAGAAAACAAGAATTAAGCTAACATGGAAAAACATGACCTGAATGAAAATCCTTTTAGAGATAATTCTAAATCCGAATCAGTACTGTTAAATAAAAAGCTAATATTGCTTTTTGATTTTGTTTTTTTTTTTTGCATTCTTCCTCTTTCCCTTAGTATTTCTCAATTCTCATGGGAAACAGCTCATATCTGAGTCACCAAGCAGACATTCCTTTTGGGGATTGCTCACATTAAAGAAAGTTCACAGGTAAAATTCCATTCAACAGATTTTATTTATCAATTTGGTTTTGCGATTACAACTGCTTCAGTTTTCTTCCACTGAAGATGATACAAACTTTTACAGCAACACTTGCAGAGAACATTCCTAAGGTAACAGCTTGATATTTGCACAAGTTGGCTTCAAGAAAAAGCCAGATAACTTGAAGAGTCACTACAATTCCGTGCCTAAAACTGATTTAGGGGCAAGTACAGCTACAGATCTATGAGCTACCTTCAACTTCAAAACACAAGGCCAAGAAAAACTGCAAGTTGTTACTTCAGGTTTTTTGCTAGTACACAGCACACATCAGCTGATACTGCATTTCACAAAGGAGTAATTACTTTCGACAGTGAGGCAGCCAAGCACAGGGTGAAGATGTAAAACCCAGCCTCCCCTCCCCCCAAACAACCAAAAGGGAAACAATTCAAGCCACAACTCTGAACTGTGGAATTACACCTTGCAGGCAAGGCTAATAAGCAAGAGGTGTATAGTGCAGGCCTTCCAGAACGTGACTAAATTGAAACAGCACAAACTTGAGTTTTTCAGATAGACATTTGTACATGCCAGTGATCCTGGGTTTCCTAAAGTCTCGGAACATAGCAATTGCTGGCACCACAACAAATTTAGTAACTAAGGCAAGGTATCCCTTCTACCCTTCAAAACAACATTTGAGGCAAACAAGTAAGCAATTTTAAGGCACTTTAAACATTATTTTTAGTTTGCTTTACCAGCATACTTTATCATCAACCTAAATCAGGATTAGCAAAGCTCATGAATAAGCACTTCAGCAACATTTTACAGAACAACTTTTTTGTGGCAATGTTTTCCATGCTATGAAGTGTTCTCTAGGACTTTTCTGCAAGTTTCCTAAAAGAGCCCTTTGAGGCCAAAAGTTGTATACTAGGTATAGTTTACTTTGCTGAGCTGAAGGCAAACTGTCATATTTCAAAAGAGTATTTTGTTCACTTCAAAGCACAGAATACAAGCCCATGGATTTTTTTAAACAAATAAATGTAGGAAAATAGTTCTTAGATAGGGAAAGGACAGATTTAAGTGATTTCACAATAAGGCCAAGGATATACCCTCTAACTCACACATATATTGTTGCTGAAAACTGGCTGCTCACTGCTGTTTTCATAAACCTGAGCTGATTGTCTTATTTTTGTTTAGAAAACCAAAAGCTAATGAACTCAAAGATACAGTACTGGCGAGTAACCTCCGCACTTTGTAGCAATTTGAGTTTTCTATGCAGCACAACAGAAACAATGCCATTCAAACTAGAAGAACACAAGAAAGCAACACTGTACACCTCAAGTTTCCAACTGAAATGCACTTAATTTGCTCCATAATTCAAGTCCCACTGCTGTGACTATTATCTGTTATCAATGCAATTTTTGTATTGGGTGCCCAATTCCAGTCAAGTCAGAGCTAGTAAGACAGTACTACAGATTATCCCAAAACTGACGATCAGGGGATATCATCAGAAACTATGTATTATGTGCTACCTCCACCACTTGATTTTATCTCTCCTTCCATTTTTCCTGTGGGTTTATTTTCACAGGTGCTCAAGTCAGTCTGTGTTGGAGATGACGTACCTTTGATACTCAGATCACATGGCTCATCCAGGCAAGGGAAAAAAAACAAAACAAACCCTGAACTATTTGGCTGAATAATTTCTTTAACCAGTTCACTGCAGGGTGGCAGGAACCTGAAGCCAGGAAGGGGAGAAGGGACAGAAAAAAGGTGTAGCCTGCGGTCCCAGGATTACAGCAATCCTGACTAGGATCAAACCAGCAGATCCTCTGAATGACCCTTAACTGCTCCCTCAGCAAGCAGATGTAGAGAAGGGCAATAAAGAAAAACAACAACAACCCAAGCTCCTGAAATTATTTGCAACAAGTTTAAGAACCGTTTGAATAACAAAAACATCAGGATTTCCCAAACATCAGTATTTCAAGTATAAATGTGAGCTGTTGCCTTTTTATACAGGGAGTGAACTGAATTATATCACTAATTTTATGGTTGGTCTTTGTAGGCCAGAACAAAAGGTAAACAAGCAAAGCTTTGGTTTGTGGCTGAACATCGCTGTACCGTACTCCTCACTCTAAACAAAATCACTAAGGGACAGTTATTCTGTCCCTTAGTTATTAGGGAAATTTTTCCCTCAGTTATTAATTTTTTTTAAAACTGGAATGCTCAAGTCACATGTATTCTATATTCCTATGTAAAGTAAATCCTTAAAAGTATTATTTATCTTTGATATAGCTGGGACATGCTTACAGCCTACTGAAAATTTAGTATTTTAAGGCACTAATACTTACTTTCCCATTAGAAGGATTATTCCTACATCCACCCTCAACATTAATTTGAAATGGCATAGGAATTCTGTTTGGAATGAAGTATTTTATGAGGCAACTTTTATTCTTGTGTAAAAAAAAAAAGGGTTATGCTATTCTGTTAAGACATTATCTAATTCTACATTTTTGCCCATCTTTCTAGCAATACACTGTAAGAGCCATAAACTACTACAAATGGTATTTCACTCCCTGAAATCAGTCACCAATAATTCACATCTTGATAAAACTGAAGGGATACTGTATCAGATGTTGTTTATATTAGCCTTCAGAAAAAGTAAATTTAAGATTGCCTACTGGACAGTGTTGCCACTGAATGAGAATCTCTGAACATTCTACATTTGGCATTATCAAGAAAAGTCCCACATCAGCAGCCACTAAAGGAAAATAAAACAGCCATTAGAACCCATGCAGCATATTGCAAGTAATCCTGCTGAAGAGATTCACATCACTTCTTGCCAAGTATAATGTTGCAAAAATATTCATTTGAAGTCTTCTTTTAGAGATTTAAAGGATATTGTGAACTGCTGTCTTCCACAAGCAACAGAAAATATTTTGGTTCAGTGACTACAGGTGTTGGGCTACTAGTCCATTACCAAGGGGCAGGTCCTAAAGCGTGTGGTAATTTCGGTCTTTAGATCTGCAGAATTTGTACAGAAAGAAAAGAACAGCCTGCAGACCCAGAACAAGGACAATTCCACCTATGAAACTTGCAGCATCAAACGTAGATTTGCGTGGAAAAGGTACAGGAGCCACAGTAGTATTTGAACCTGTTAAACACCAAATTAGAAACCGTAAGTGCACAATACTCACAACAGTTCTACAGATTTTAGTGCTGAATCCCTTCTATTAAGAGTACTCAAACCATCAAAACACCAATAAGAAAACAAAAAAGAATCAAAAGTGAAGCCATGCCAGCATCTGAATTTAGATTACCAGTACTGAAATTCTGATTAAATGCTGTTTGTACAAGGCTAGAGCTATTTATAGACCAACTGCTCTGGACCTCAAAATTGAGCAATACCCAGCTGGACTTTATTTGCACTTCAAAAAGCCAAAGCCTTCCTCCTCTACATAGAGTATATTATTGATATGCCCACATTCAAGACATACTTTCCAGTCGCTGCTCCTTGCTCCAATTTTTTAATTTTTTTGCTTAAATTTAACATAAATTGTTATCTTCCATCTACTGTACTTTGACCCAAGAATTAGGCTTAAAAAAACAGCTGAAGTCACAAATACAAGTCTGGAAATAACAGCCATCTGCTGTTGGGTAGTTTTAAAGAGCTTTGCTTTGTGAGACCTTTTCATGAAATGACATACTTAGGACTGACTTGGAAATAAAATACTTCAGCTTATTCCCGTCACTGTAGAACAATTTCATTTAACATAAACAAAACCAACCCTATCCCATTATTATGCTGCAAAAACAAAATACCACCTCCCAAAGACAGGGGAGTTAACAAGGGACTTCCAACCACACTGTTAAAATCATCCAGCTGATCTCATTTGACCAACATGTTTCTGACTTTTTAAATCTCACTAATAAGCTCTATTTCTCAGGCTACTTGCATACATCAAAAATTAGACTTGCCATGAAGTTAGAAGTGCAACACCAGATACACTAATATTACTCCAATGGTGTCACTTGGTGAGTCTTTCAAGCTAACACTCTTAAAGCAACACTGATTTCTAAGTAATTAATTTTGAAGTAATTAACACTTGAATTTTGGCAGTTGTAGTGTTACCTGCAGTAGTGGCTGTCGAGGTGACTGGAGTCACGGTAGTTTTAGGCAGAGGAGCGTGGGTAGTTGCATTGGTGACATTGGCTGTTTGAGAGAAGACAGTACGTACACACCATAAACACCAAAGCAAAGTTTGCAAGCACTGATGTTCCTATACAAATGATTTTTCCTGTTTTGCTTTAACAAAAGGATAACCTTTGCCCTCAGTCTGTATCCCACACAATTTAGGTGGTGAGCTGCATGGCATTAAGCCAAGTTTCTGAAACAAGGGTTATTTTCAAACTTGCATACTACTGTTACCCAAATACTTCAAGGTTCTCCACAGATCAGTGATTCTTTGTTCAGACAAAATTAATTTATTTCAAGCACTCATATAAATGCTGGTATGTGAACAAGAATCGAGAGATCTGCTTCAAGACAACTGAGAATCTGTATCAAGGCAAAATACTTTCATTAAACTTTCATTTAGTATCCGTTTCATTTAGAATCAGCTAGCAATAATTGTACTAAAAAAGCTCCTAATCCAATACCTCTAGACAGGAGACATACACTCTTTCTTCTCCTGTCCTCAAAACACTGTGAATGCCATCACTGGAATAAAACCACTCACCTAAAATGAAACTGTCTCCTAAAAACTTTAATCATCAAGCCACCTAAGCTGGGTCTCTGACCTCTCCCCGCTCCCCTAAAGATTAGTATTACTAAAAATTGATCAGCATTCCACTATGTTCCTGGGACAAGTGTCAGCATCTGTGGGTTTACTCAAAGCTAATCATCCTACTGTACATTAGGCCGCTCTGAGCTTAATCAAGTACCAACTTATTACCTCCCAGCTCCCTTGATCAGCAATTTTTTAAAGATTAGGTGACTTTTTAAAAAAGAATTTCACTGTAGAGATGGCACAGAAATTTTTGAAAAAAAAAGTAAAAAAAACTCCAAGCTCCTAAGAATTCATAATTAGTGGTAATTACTAATTTAATTACCACTGTGCCAATTTTTAACACCAAAAATGCTTCCTGCCAACATAAGTAAAGAGTATTCTAAAATCCACTTCTTACAAACCTTATAACCTTTAATACATTCTGCACATCAGATTTTCAGTAGCCAAGCTACTACAGTGAATTTTGGAAGAAGCCCCTGTCTTTCACATTATTCACCATTTCCCAGTCTCCTGCCATTCTGAGTTCAATGTTTCTGTATTACCTATAGGAGTATGAACTGTGGTGGAAGTACTGGCCGTGGTAGCATTGGAAGACGCCGTGGTAGCATTGGAAGATGCTGTGGTCGCATTGGAAGACTCCGTGGTGGCATTGGTGGGTGTTACAGTGACATTGGAAGTAGGTGTTACAGTGACATTGGGCGCAATAACACTGGTAGGAGGAGAAACTGTGGAAGCTATGAAAAAATAAAGTTACATTAGAGATTGTATTGAACTAAAAAACAACCCAACAAAACAACATCAGATAGCATAGCTTTAGGAATTTCATACAGCACTGAGTTCTACTGTAGTTTTAGTTTGAAATTACAAAGCTTTTGAATCCACTATACTAACACCAAAAGCTGCATGAGTGAATACGTGAAAATCTTGTCACAGGCAGCCCAATCAAGCCAGTGTTCAACTGACAACTCAAGATTCCTCAAAGCAAACCAGAGTGAGAAGAACCCTACTGTCCAAGCAGAAACCACATGCTTTACATAGGAGAACACTAGGTAGAGAGCACTGCTTCCTAACCTCACTGCAGCTGAGACTGAACCTGAGCTTTTGGTAATGCAGCAAGCTATAAATACAGCAGGAAGCAATCAAAGTATGGAAAATAATGACAAGAACCTGGAGAAATTAATGTACACATGTATAAAAAGGAGAGCAGAAAAAAAGTCAATCTATTTGTATTTTGATCACAGCAGAAGCCAGCAACCTAACCAGTCCAGCTGCCTTTTTACGTCAATCTCAGGTCAAACACTGTTACCTTAAAACCACCACAACACATCCACTAACTGGATCAAGTAAGATTTTCTCATAATTTACAGTTTTATCACATTAGTTTTAATTGAGACTTACTCATACAGCCATCATACTCAGCAAACCCACATACAACCCACAACTCCTTCTGTTGCATGCTCTCCAGCACATTTCACATCATATCCACCCACTCCAGGCACCTAGGGGTGACCTTTCACTTTTCTCCATTAAAGGAATGCTGCTATCCACAGATCTCTGGCAGGCAGCATGCTCATTTACTTCTCAAGTAACAACTACAAGTACATTATCTAACTTCAGAATTCTGACAATCTGAAGTAAGCCTAATCCACATGGCCTTTCTCTTGGTTATGGCAGGATCAGGTCAGAAAGGCTGGCACTATTTCTTCCCTTTCACATAAGAAGATATGGAAAGACCTTTTTGAGGTTGCATCAGTGGGGTGTACAACAGAAGCCCTATTCCCTTTAGGAAGGCAGCACCCAAAGCACTTCAAGAGCTTTATGACTGTTTCTCGATAACAGATTCCGGGGGGAGGGGAAGTCAGTCAGTTATGGTGGATATACAGCTGAGGAATGCTCACAGCACACACAATGGCCTCTGACTAATGAACAACCTTCACGCTTGTAGACTGCTCACTGGTATGTGGAAAATTTAGCACAGTAAGTCTGTTAAGACAGGAAGACAGTCGGTAGAGCCAATTTATACATGGTACACTAGGACTTCTGATTTAGTTTCAAAAACAGCCTTCCCAGACTAACTTGGGGAAGGATCAGATTTGCAAGAGTAAAGGATGAAGAGACATTTTTATCAATGAGCTGTTAACTTCAGAATCTGTGTCAGGGTCTCAGACGTTGTCCCAATGACACCTCCTGGTGTGAAAGCTCTGTGGGGTCTTTTACATGGGAAAACAGCAAGTTCCTCAACTTTCCCCATCAGCAGATGCCTGCTCCTCACTGAAAAAAAAAATACTCTGATACCAGGAACTCAGCTTTTCAGCCTAGCCAAGCTGACGTTTGCTCCCAGGATAAACCCGCTGTACTGGCTCTGGCACAGGGTAAATTCGGGTACTCCCCTTACAGTCGAGGAGGAAGCAGGAACCACCGGAGGGTCTGGCCTGCCGGCCCAACAGTGCCCTCTCCCGTCGCAGCGGAGCGGCGCGCTAAGCCCTGCCGGAGCAGTCCCGGAGCAGCCCGGGCTGCCGCTCCCGCAGGGTGTCCCGCGTCCCGCGGCGGGGCAGGGCTGGAGGAGATCCCTGCGGGCTGGAGCAGCGGGGACCGGGCAGCGCCACCCTCGGCTGCAGCCAGCGCCACTACGGAACGCGGCCAGGGAACGCCGAAGCTCTTCCAGACAACTTTTTGTCTTCGTTTTTGTTGCTGCCCCCGCGTTTTGGGGCTCGCGTCACATTTCGCGGTTCTCGGCCCCGCAAACACTTGGGCAAACAGCCCGCAGGGCCCGAGCTGTGAGGAACTGGGGGCAAAGACGCGGGACGAGGAGCGGGGCTCCCACCGGGACAAGGAACACGCGGCAGCAGGGCCAGAGCGACACGGCTGCGCCAAGGCACCCCCGCTCCCAGACGCGTTCCAAGGGTGCCAGAAGCAGCAAGGGGCGATAGCACGGGATAACGGGTCCCGGACCGGCACGAGCAGAGCGCGGCTCAAGAGCCCGGCGGGCCGCGGCCGCTGCGCGCAGGAAGCGGCGGCGGCGGCCGAGCGAGCGCCGGGGGAGCGCAGGGCGGGTCCCGGAGGGTCCCGGGCCCCGCGGCGCTCCCGGCCCGCCGCCCGCGGAGGGTCCGGCAGCGGGCGCGCACACACGGACAGCCCCGCCGGGCGCGGTGCGCGGAGCCCGCCTCGCTCCCCACAGCGCCGGGCACGGGGCGGGGCTGCCCCGTCAGCAGCTCCCGGGGGCAAGGAGGGGGGAGGGCGCGAATCACTCACCGTCGGTCGTTGATGGCTCCGCGGCCAGCCCGCAGAGGCAGCACGCCACGACGGCGAGGCGGAACGCAAATGTCGTAAGTGTGCGGCCCATGGCGGCGGTGCGGTGAAACGAGGGGGCTGCGGCTCCCGCTCCGGCTCGGCACTTCCCTGCCCGCTCCGTCCCGCTGCCGCCGCGCCGCCGCCCCGCGCCGCCTCACGTCACGGAGCGCCCCGAGCTGGCCCCGCCCCCGCCCGCGGCGGGCTTGTGGTTTCGCCCGGCTTCCTCTTGCCCCCCCCAGCCGGCGGGTAATGGAACGGTCCGCAGCGCGGCGCCGCTCCCCCACGTGACCCCGCCGCGCCTCCGGGAGGGAGCTTTTCCCGCGCGTCACGCGCCGATACGTCACCACCGAGATCCCGCCCTCTCCCCGCTGAGTCCGCTCATTGGCTGGGGGCTCGTCGGGGGGCGGGGCAGGGGCGCGCGGGCTCGCGTTTCCCGCGCGCGGGCGGTGGCCCCGCGGAGTGGCGCCGGGCGGGCGGTGGCGCTTGCGGGAGTCGCACCGGGCGGTGGGGAGAGAGATGGTCCCGCCGGCCCACACCAGCTGCCCGTGGCCACGGGCCGCAGCTGTTCCCCGTTCCCACGCCGCTCCCCCATTTCTACCGTGACAAAACAGCGAATTATACTTAAATTGTACTTAAGTGGTAGTTTAAATGAACAGCGCCTGAACCGTGGCGATTTGCGTGCAGATTGCAGAGTGTTGTCCAACTGCGCTCCCAGCAGCCCTGGTGCCATCACAGGTGGAAGCGGCACACTGGGAGTTTGTCTTAAGTCCAGGGTGAAATGGTTGCAATAGTAGAAGGGAGGGGTGGTACAAATTGTAATCCTTATCTTTATAACTGCGCTGTAGAGAGCACCTAGAGAAGGTTCCCGAGTCATCCCGCCACTCCTTTTCGTGGACTTGTCAGGTTTGCAGTTGGATTCAAAGGATGTATCCAACTTTAGTGATTCTAAGAATCAGTAATTCCCCCAGACCACTGGGTAGAGTTCCCCCTATGTCTATCACATTTTCTCCTTTGTTTCTCCCTAAGGCAGCTTGAGTCTATATATATCATCATCAATGTACTGTGCAAATAAAAGTTTGTTTGTGTAAATCTGCCTCAGCATTTTGTGCAGTGCCAACACAGGTGAATGTTGGGAAACCAAAGCAAACATTCATGTGTGCCTGTATTCAAGGAGAGCTAAGCTAGAGCTATAAAGCAAATTTTATTATGGTCTAGGTCAAAGGACAAATGGAAGAGAAGAGGTATAATCAGGACAATTCCCCTTTGGTTATCCTAAGTGTGAGCTGGACTTAGGCAATAAAGAGGAAACTGCCAAATAAATCCCTAGCTTAATCTTCCGTTTTACTTTCTTTCCTGAAGGTGTTATATTGCCAAGAGACCAGTACAAATGCAGAAATTTTAAGTCAAGCTACCTATCATGGTTACTGTGTTAGCTATGGAGGGGCCTGTAGAGCTGCTGGTAATAGATAATTTGGGTACAGAAGCTTTCTGAGATGGTTCTGTACTGCCATATATTGTGGTGCTTTCTGCTAGCAGGCAGGATGGCTAACACTTTGCCTTCCTGCAAAAAAGTCTCAGGGAGAAAACATAAAAGAAAGGTCTGCAAAGAAACAAAAGAGAATCAATTTTGTGATAAGAGCTGGAACCTTGTAACAACTGCATTAAAATGACCAAACATGTTCTGTTGTATGTAAATGTTGAGAATTCAACATTCATCAGAATTTAGTTCTGAAAAGTGGTAAGAAAATGGAGTTCCACACTGACTTTAGTTATCTCTCATTCTCCATTTTTACTGGAGTGGTAGTGTACAATAATTTAGTTATATCTACACTATAACAAAAGTTTCTGGCCTTTTAATAAGAAATACTTTTCACATGCATTATTAAAATACAATATTTCTGTTCTATTTTGAATAAACAGCATAAGTAAAAAATGCAATGTAACCAAAATTGCAGGGAACATGGAATGAAGGAGTTTTCTATGGATTCCACTCATCCCTCCTGGCCATACCTGAAGAGATTTTTATGTCCTTGTGGGACAAGGGTCTCCTGCTTGGATCAGGGCTTGATTCAGAGGGTCTACTGAGATTTCACTAGACACATGGTATTATTTTAACTCAGGTTTTCTTTTTTGCAGGAATTGTGGGTTATAATGTTAAATATTTCTTCAGCAGTTATCAGGGTTTTATGAGGGATTGCAGTTGCAGTTCTGTTGATTTACTGGACACATGAAGTTAATGGTTGCTGCAATCTGCATTTCATCAGGAGTGCATACTAAAAATCTCTTATTTTGAGAAAGTAATAGGATAATTAAGTTAAATAAGATAAAAGACAAGACTCTAATCAGTGTTTATGTGTATGGAAAAAGTGGGAGAAAAATGAAGTACATAAAAAAATAGAACTAGGACTATCAGCAAAGGCAAGAACATCTCCACAAGCAAGTGAAAACATGTTTATCATTCTGGGCGCTTGGTGGGAATCCGGGGAAAAGATAAATGTGGTTTGTCTGTTTTTTCTTATAGTCAGCATCTTGGGACTTTGTTGCAGCATACAGTCAGCAGGATCATGGCAATCTGGGTTGTTGTTGTTGGATTTAAAACACCACATTCATCACTGAACTCAGTTCTCATTGCACTGTTGTATATTTAGTGGTTAGTAAGGCATTTACCTCTGTTTTGAATCTATAAGGAATTCCAAGCCCTGCATTACTGGAAAATTATGTAAAATCCTTGACAAAATGGGCAAAACCTGAGAGATGCCCATTTTAGGAAAGCACATTTGAAACATAGCAAATTCCCAGGATTTGGAGCAGATCGTGTTGTATCAATTGGTGCTTGGCAAGATGTGATAATGGAATGAAGAGAATCCACAGGAGTATACAGCACTTTGGGATGACAGCAGTAAATAAAAAACCAAATTTAATAGATTAACTGAAGGGAATATATATTTCCTTCATTTTGTAAACATTGGTTCTCATTTCCATATTGTCATTTCAAATGCACAGAAAGAGAAGTTCACGTGCAATGTAAATATGTGGTGGGTGTTTTAGCAGGGGAAATACAGCATCTGAGGAGGTTTTGAGGTGTTTGTTACCATTACATAATGATGCATTATTGTATCCTGGTGCTGTTCCCCAGAATGGTGAATTGTTCAGAAATAATGCATTGACTCCTGTGCCTGGAGTAACCTTTGTTGGTCCTTGCATCCCGAGGCAGGTATGGCAGTAAATCCCGCTGTAGGGGTGTGTCCAACCAAGGCTGGATCTGGCTCCAGGCACACCCAGGGTGGTGCATGCCGTGCTGCATGACATCAGAGGTGTATTTAAGGTGCCTGCGTGTCTGCCCCCCAGCAGGAATTCTGTGTGAGGACATTGGCACCTGTACTGTCCAAGCTGCTTGCCTGAGGCAGGCAAGGTGGAGCTATATTTGGTACACATGAATTCTCTGTCACAGGTACTCACTCAGCCCCACCAGATGGGGTGGAACGGCTGCATTTAACGTAAGGAACAAATAAAATAGAGAGTGGTTAGTGATTCTAAAATAATGTTTAAAATATTTCTTAACTCTTTTAGAGATAGAGATACAGGCTGATGCTTTTAGCCTAAGGCAAGCCAGAGACATGTCTTGAGAAGAATAAAAGGCAACAGGTAAGATGGAGTGGAAAGAATAAACTTTTCACCTGTGCAGCTGCAGCCAACCACAGAATGAGGATGGGCTGATTTAGGTGACCAAAGGAAAATAAGGCTAATATTTAGATGGAGTTCTTGTAACAGTACATCCATTGGCTGTATTTTTTAACATGCATTTTTTAGTTGGTGATAGTGTAACACAGTGGTGGCCTTTGGCCTGTGTCAGGGTAGGAGCTTATTCCCTAGGAGTTTAGCTGTGTCCTCAAGGCTGGCTGATAAAAATGCCTCAGTCAACCTGGGATGTTTTCAAGTGAAGGAACTTCAGGAGGGTCTCCACTACTTTTTCTCAGTAGATATTTTTGTTCTGAGGCTCTTGAATCTGGCCCTGCCTGAGACATAGCACCTGTGGGCCGCCTGTGCCTGGCCTTGGGTCCCACTCACCTGTGCTCTTGCTGAGCCCTGATGGCCTGGACTGGTGCTCCTTCCCACACAACAGCTGAGGTCCAGGCACAACTGAGCTCTGTTGATCTGGCCACCCATTACTGCCTCTTAACATCCCAAATCTTATCAGAATTACAGTACCACAATTTTTTCTATGAAGTTTGTAAAAGCATTCCACTTACCCATTTTCTTTGTGCAATAGATGTATTACATCATTCTGATCCATTTGATGTGCTGCATAGTTGATATTAGTAAAGTTCTTTCAAAATCAGTCCCTTTTTTCCCTCCCTGGACCTGGTGGCAGGAATTTTTTGTCTGACTTACAGCTGGGAGTCAACAGTGAATTAGTGAAGGGTATCCCAAGAAATAAAGTATATGAAGGGCAATAGCAGAGTGCTGTAGCTGTGACAGTCTAAAAAGGAAGGCAAGGTTGGTCTGTAGGAAGGTGAAATATGTTGTCAGAGTTCTGTCTGATACCATGAAAATGCACAGAGAACCCAGGGCTTCCTCAGATCCCTGTGGAGTACCTGCACAGCTGAGGAGCCACACTAACAATTTCTGCTGGCTTTAGCAGCCCTCCTGGATCAGATTCAGAAATCCTCTGGCCCCAGATTAGGTAAATTACCTTGTAGATAATGACTTTGGCCTCCAACTTTTTTCTCATCAGTGCTTGAATAAGTAGGGGGGAATGATTGGAGCCTACTGTCTGTGCTATATTAACACAATGCCCTTGTGCTTTTAACATATATGCCTGTGCAAAGAAAACTGGTGTCTAGTCTGAGGGCTTCTTTCATCACTTTTCATTTAAAGCAGTATCTAAGAGAGTGTTTTGCTGGAGTAAGAAGCTCATAAACTTAAAAAAACCAATAAAGCAAAATTTGAAAGAGACCAGTTTTTCTTACAGTGGTGACACATTGCATAAATGAAACCCTGTGTAGTCTGGTAAGATAATAGTTTTCTCAGAATGCATGTTGCTGCCAGCTGTTCTTTGTAGAAGGGAGTTGTTTTATATGGTTGCTGGGAAGGGAACTTCTCCAAACCCAGCAGCTGACAATGAAAGTCTTCACCTCCCCATTTGCCAACTGCCCCTGAATTTCCTGGCTTTG